AAAATAAAGATTATGACAATTGTCACCTATCTATGATACATCCTCACTGAATTTTTAATTTAACATGTTTAGAATATATATTTTTAGCTATTTCCTTTAAAAAAATTAAAAAAGGTTCAAAAATAACGAATATGACAATTGTCACCTATATATGATATATCCTCACTGAATTTTAAATTTAACATGTTTAGAATATATATTTTTAGCTATTTCCTTTAAAAAAATTGAAAAAAGTTCAAAAATAACGATTATGACAATTGTCACCTATCTATGATACATCCTCACTGAATTTTTAATTTAACATGTTCAGAATATATATTTTTAGCAATTTGCTATAAAAAACTCAAAAAAGTTCAAAAATGTCGATTATGACAATTGTCACTTATCTATGGTACATCTTCACTGAAATTTTGATTTAACATGTCTACAATATATTTTTTATCTATTTCATTTAAAAAAGTTCAAAAATAACCATCATAACAAATGGCTCTTTTCTATGGTACATCTTTACTTAAAAATTTTAAAAAATAACTATGATGGAATAGTTAAATCAGAGCGTTATATTTTAAAGAAGCTTTAAGAAACTTTCCCGCCTATAATATTAATATCTACTAAATGTTATTTGATTTTTGGTCGAAAAAAATGATCTAGATATTTGCTTAGGTGAAAAAAAGCAACCCTAACTTTAAGGCGTCTTTAAAAAAACGATCCATATTTTGGGTCGGATTGAATAAAACGACCCGATGTTTGAGTCTGAGTCAGAAAAACGACCCAAACTTTGAGTTGGAGTCGAAAAATACGATCTAAACTTCAAGTTGGAGTCGAAAAATACGACCCAAACTTCAAGTTGGAGTCGAAAAATACGACCCTAACTTCAAGTTTGAGTCGAAAAATACGACCCAAACTTCAAGTTGGAGTCGAAAAATACGACCCTAACTTCAAGTTTGAGTCGAAAAATACGACGCAAACTTCAAGTTTGAGTCGAAAAATACGACCCAAATTTCAAGTTTGAGTCGAAAAATACAACCCAAATTTTGAGTCGGAGTTGTAAAAAACGACCCATATTTTGGGTCGAGGTCGTTTTTTTCGGCTTGGACTTGGGTCGGAGTCGAAAAAAACGACCCATATTTTGGGTCGAAGTCGTTTTTTTCGGCTTGAACTCGGGTCGAAGTCGTAAAAAACGACCAAAACTTTGAGTTGGAGTCGAAAAAAACGACCCAAAATTTGGGTGAGCTCTGTTCGAGCCGACTCGGCTAAGCCGATTAACAACACTACATGCAATACAGGGTTAAAAAAAGAAAAATCCCAATCAAAAAAGGTTTTAACTTTTTATCATTTTTTTTCCTTATATTGTTATCTTTTATATACATTTCTAACTTTTTCAATCTCTTTAAGTCCTTTTCAATCTTTATTTTTCTGATCTTTTCTCAATTTTTTTTTCTTCTCATTTTTGATAATTCTTTTTTTGTAATTATTTAATTTTCACTCAATTTTTATTTTGCATAGCAGGCAATTTTTTTATTAGAATTTTTTACATATCAAATTACATTGCTGAATTAAATTAATCGTTTGGTTATAATGTACCCTTTAAAATTAAATAGTAAGTTTGACTGTAATACCAAACAATATGTAAATTAATAAAATATAATCATGTTTAAATTCTTATTTTTAAAATTTTATTGTCTGCCATTGAAATAAAAATTAAGTGAAAATTAAAAATAATTACAAAAAAGATATAAAAATGAGAAAAGAAAAATTGAGAAAAGATCAGAAAAATAAAGATTAAAAATGACTTAAAGAAATTGAAAAAATTATAAATGTATATATAAAAGATAGCGTTATAATGAGAAAAAATGATAAAAAGTCAAAATATTGTTATAACGAAAAAAAAGGAAAGAATTGTTAAAAATATGGTGTAGAGAAATGAAGAAAAATAACAGAGAAAATTTATAAATTATTAAAAAGATAAAGAATTATCAAAAATGAGAAGAAAAATAAATTGAGAAAAGATTAAGAAAAATAAAGTAAAGAAATGGCAAAAAGTTAGAATTAAAATAAGAAGGAATAATGAATAATGAAATAAATAAAAATTTAAGAAAAATTGACAAGGAAAAAAAATTTATTTTAACAATTTTCCTTTTTTGAATGGGAATTTTCCTTTTTTGATTGGATTTTTTCCTTTTTAGTTTGACACTTTTCTTTTTTGATTAAACCTTTTCCTTTTTTGTTTGACACTTTTTCTTTTTTGATCGGCTGACTTTTTCCTAAACTTTTGGGACTTTTCCTCTTTTGATTGACACTTTTCCTTTTTTTGATATGGCCTTATCCTTTTTTGATTGAACCTTTGCCTTTTATTGACCTTTTTCCTTTTTTGAATCATTGGGTAAACACACAAGTGGCTTCCACCACCCAAAAGAAAACGTATCTACATTCACTACTTGGAAGTAAATTTACCCTACTGTCAGGGCCCATTTAATTAAAGAGTGATGATGATACCTCTTATGGATAAGCCAGGATCCACTGAGACAGTAAATTATCCTACTGTCAGGACCCGTTTAATTTAAGAGGACTGACGGTACCTCTTGTGGATAAGTCAGGATCCACTGATTGACAGTAATTTACATAGATTATTGGTAAGAATAGAGAAATAAGAAAAATATATAATTAATAAATAGTATTCTTATTTTTATAAAGAATTTGTTCTAAATTAGTGAATTTTTGATGGTGATCATTATTCATAGGTTTTAAAATGATTATGTGAATCCATAATTGTAACGAATCAAGTACATTTGATGGTAAATCTAGAAATCAAATTATAACTAATTATAAAAAAATTTAATTAGTTATTCTGTGAAAATTTAATCATTAATAGTTTCTTATCATATTAAATTTTAATTTTATAGTTTTCGCAGACGATATTTCCAAATTTTTCGTCGCCATTGAAGTAAAATTTATTGTGTAAGAATTTATGCCACATAACGAAACATGTTATCGATGTCAATCATAAAAACATCATAATATAATCCAAATAGAATGTAATATAAAATGTATGAACTATAATAGTATCTTATATAGCATTTATCACAGTGATAAATACATTAATATAGTTGAAGATAAAACATAATTCGCACTCAAAATTTATTTAATTAATTTAAGTATAATATCACCACTTACCTATGAGTAGTTTAATGGAAGGGCCATTATTCCCATATAAATTTTAAAATGACTAAATTTATAAGGTTTCAATTTAAATATAATTATATCATTTTAGCATTTGAGTATTTTTTAAAGCATTAGTAATGTTATAGCCTTTATTATGAAAAATAGATTTTGTGTTGTCTTAAAATGCAAGTATTTGCAAAGTTTTCAAATTTGTTTTTTATATTCTAGATATGAGGAATTGTAAATCTAATTTAATTGATAGTGAATCTATTAGTTTATCATAATCTTAGAATATTTGTTTGGTCTGACCTCATATTTTTTTATTTTATTTATCTCAGAGACCTACAGGCCAGACTCGGGTAAACGTGCCGTGTCTTTAATTTTTTTTAATTTACCGGGGCAGTGCTAAAAAATTTTTTTACCCAGACCGGGCCGTATATAAACCGAATATTTTAAATCATTAACTTTTAAAATTTAAATAAAATCTAATAAATTTTAAAAATACCTCAGTCTCTGATTTATGTTTAAAATATATAAAAATTATTTTATTTTCCTTTAAAAAATATTAAAATGGTCCGCACTTGTAATCTAGCCATAATATTTTCATTGAGAAGTCATTAACCAGATATAATTATTATATATTTTTTAATATATTTTTCATAGATGCATGCTTATAATATGAATAAATAAATTTCATCTATTTTATAAATAAACAATATATTAACCTAAATGATGGAAATTTTTTTAATAAATAACATTCATAATTAAAATAATGGTGTTGCTTCAATAAAAATCATTTAAATTTTTTTATATAACTGCAATGAACCTGGTGTTGCTTCGATAAAAATATTTATTTTTTTATATAACTACAATGAACTTTTATAAACCTATACAATTAGCTGAACCCAACCTTTATAAATTTTTTCTTAAGAACCGTAACGATAATGATTTATTATATACTTAACCATAACCAAACTGAACCGTTATAAATAAAATTTCGGGTCCCTGCATTTAAATAGATATAAATGATTATCTTTAAAATTGTTAAAATAATTAATGCTTTTATATTTATCTTTAGTTTTACAAAGTTGGCAATTAAAATTATGTAGATAAAAGTTATTAAACTAAATATAATCGACTTTCTTGCCTACCCGCAAATTTAAATTTTATGAAAGATAGTAAGAAACCAATAGAAAATTTATTTTTAATGGACTTATCGATCAATGACATTTTTTAATAGTTTACTAAGCATTAAAAAATGAATATAACTCAAACATGTATTCTAAGGAACGAAATGTAATACCGAGTTATACAAACTAAATAATTTTTGTATATTTAATATATTTTTTATTCTACAGAACCTAAATATAAAATAAATATAGAAGCAATGATAATAATGTTACATTAAATAATATGATTATCTTTTGAAAAATTAAGATAACTATAATGTAACTATGACTAATTGTAACTAGTTACATTTCAAGAAAGGTAACTATTTATTTTTGGATAGAGTAACTTTTTAATGTTGTTACCTTTAAAGGGTAACTTTAACAACATTATCCCTAATTTATAGAGCTAGGATAAAATGGTACTATAATTTATATCTGTTAATAATTAAATAAACTGAATTTCCATTCCCAAATTCTTACTTATATATCGGATAAAATATAAAACATATTACAGTAAAGCTGAAGTTATTCTCTTAAGTTACATTATATTTATATTCACCTAAGTCAAATATTTTATATAAAGGGAAATAATCATATTACTTTTTTATTTTATTCATAGCGATATATCATTTTTTTCTATATCTAATTTTATATACTATGAATACATAGGTAAGCGCTAGATTAATATCACACGCTGGCAGTCTCTCTAATTTAGCCAAATGTCCCGCCTCTACCATTCAAATCCTGGGAGCTGAAAAAGCTCTTTTTAGGTTACATCTTAATATTTAAATATATAAATGAAATAATGTGTCAATTATTATAATACTAGTAGATAGCCCTTCAAAAATGACGGGAATGAGAATTTTCTTCTTACTTTTATGCTAGATGTTACCTGTTATTTGAAAATAATATCCAATTTTTATTCTTTTTACCCCCTCCCCCCTTCAGGCCAGGTTCAATCCATTAAAACTAAGTGTAAATACTATGGTTTGAGTAAGAATAAATTTAAAGCTTTTACTTGATAATACCAATATTATTTGTTAAATACTACTGATCACTTAAACCTAATATTTTTATATTAAAAAAAATTCCCAGGCAAAGTTAAAAGCCATAATAATTTTGAAAATTCTTCATAGCCCAATGAAAGATTATAATAATTCTGGTAGTTGAGAACTGAAATAAAATATTTAAATAATCATAATGAATTTTAAAATCCAATCAAAATCAGATTTTCATGGGCTTTTGTTTTTTGATCAGTTCAAGCCCAGGCCTGCAAAAAAATGTTTTAGGCCAATGTCTGACCAATTAATAATAAAAATATTATCAAGCGTCCAAGCTCATAATAATTTTAAAAATTTTTCCCAAGCCCAGCCCAACCCATAATAATTTTATAAAAAAATTTTCTAAATCTCTAAAAACCATAACTATTTTTTATTATATTTTAAAGCTCACCCGACCAAGGCCAACCTATTAAGACTAAGAGTGAATGCTATTTTTTTGAATAAAAATATATTTAAATTAGATTTTACCTGATAAATATTCTGTGTTAAATATTACACCTACGCCTAATATTAAAAAAATTCCAAAGATAGGTCCTCGCACTTGGAAAATTTTCTCAAACTCGCCAAAGACCATAATAATTTTGATAGATGAGAACTGAAATAAAAATATATATAAAGTCACAATGCATTTAAAAATACTATCAGAATATGAAAGTTGCATGGGCCTTGGTTTTTGATCAGGCCTTGCCATCTCTTTAAAAGAAATTTTCAGGCCAATTTCTAGCCCTTATTTAAAATTAAAAAATTTACAGGAATCTAAGACTATAATAATTATGAAAATGTTTCTCAAGCTATGTCCAAGTCCATAATAATGGTGAAAAATATTTCCCAAGTCCAGGAAACCCAAAAATAATTTATTTTTTCCTTGGATCCATAAAAATAGGTCTGATGTAAGGGGTTTATAAGAATTAAATCTGTCTAATATGTACATATTTTTTTGCCATTTTAAATGGAAAATTTTTCAAAATTATCATCAAATGAAGGGTAAATATCAGATTTCATTCTATTAGTTAGCTCCTGGTAATAAAGTACCATGCTGAAAATATGTTCATCTTAATTTAAATTTTAAACAAACCACCACTTTTCCAAATGATTTATTACTTAGTTACAAAATATAAAATTAAATTTAAGACATTTATTAAATTACAATAGAAAAAATAAAAAGATATGTCTTAGTTAACAAATAATAAAAGGTTAACTTCAATCATAGTAAAATTATATATAAGTAAAACAAAAAGGTTATACATTTAATCAAAAATGTTGTAATAAGTTATGAATAACATACATTCTACAATTATGAAGTTATGAGGAAATGTACAAAATTTTCCTATCTTTTGAGGTGTTATTTAAAAATATATATTTATTTGGGGTTATTCTAAAATTTTCCATTATTTTTATAAAATATGTTAATGATGTATATATTTAGTAATTTTATTTATGTGTTATTCATTTGTATTTGTAATTTATAATCTCAATTTATCCTGCTAGATGAGAGTTTAGTGTTACTAAGGTGTGTTTTGTGCCTTCCATTATTAAAAGCCCTTAAGGAAGGATCTATTCCATAATCTATTAAATATTTGAATTTTATAAAATTTAAATCTTTCAATTAGGTAATTTTTATGCATAAGTAAATATTTACATCTCTTATCTTTTATAAAATTCTAAATTATACATAAATTCAAGAATTAAAATAGTATTTAAATAAATCTCTTATTCCTATCGAATTGGTACTTGATGCATTAAAGTTCTACTGATCCCTAAATATTCAGGAATATGATAATATTAGGCATGTGTTCAGTGCATTCAATGCACATTGTTGTTCTTCTGGATTGATATTTTTATACATAGATTTAGGTAGAGGAATAAAAAATGTTTGATTTTCTAACTCTAAAATAATTAAAAATTATATTAATATTAAAAATTTACTTTGATATAAACTACCTGAAAGTGCCATCTGGATACCATTGCTTTGCTATGTGAAGTGAATGAAATGGTAAGTGTATGAATGTTTAGTTTGTAAGGTGATTACTATTGGACCGATTACGCTATAATCATTTTTATTGGACAAATATATTTTAAAAGAACACTATTGGCTAAATTTGATTGATGATTTTTGAGGATTATTATAATAGATATTATAAAGGTATCGAGTTTGAAACCCGACACCGGAATCGGGAGAAATCTAGGAAATAGATCCCGGAATACCTCTTTAAGTTTTTTTGAACCGAAACCGAATTTAAAATTTTCAGGAACAGGTTCTAATAAAATGGCAACTGATTTATATGCATATTGCAAAATATTTTGCTATGTGATTCATTTAGGATTTATTTTAACCTTTTTAGATTTTTTTATTGCTTATTACCAGAATTTGAAGGAAATGAAATTCCCATAACCAGGGATGCGGTTCGGGTTCGGTTGGCGGGTTTAGTTCGGTTCAGGGAAATATTTTTAAACCCGGGTTTGGTTACGGGTTCAGCTCGGGTTTAAGAATTTTTGAATTGATAAAAAAAAATTCTATATTTAATAAATCATAAAAAACTAGACATAAATTTGGCATAAAAAATAAATTTTTTATTTTATTTATTGGCAAAATATAGTTAAAAATACAAAGCATTGTCATGTATCAATTTTAAAAATTTAATGACATATTTCCTTAAATTAACAATATCCAATATAATAATTTTTACTTTAACTTGTTGACTTTCATTTTCTCTCAATAATCATTGAGAATAAATTAAAAATAAATGGCGTAAATGAATATTGTTTAAAATTTATTAACACACTAATAGGAATCTTTGAGAATAAATTTAAAAAAATTTTAAAATGGCGTAAATGAATTAAATTGCTTATAATTTATTAACACTTCACTTAAAAGGAAATTTTATAAATATTATGTCAAGTAAATTATTAATATTTGTATTTGCAATTATACAAATATCTTATATGATTTTAAACAATTACACTGAACCCGGATTCAGATAAAATTCAAGGGTTCTGTTTGGGGTTTTGAAAATTTTATAAACGGGGTTCAGGTTCTGTTCGGGTTCAGATTTTTTCCCCCAAAACCCGGGTTTTCTTCTCCGGGTTCGGTTCGAATCCCTGCCCATAACCTCTTCAAATCTTAGAAAGAACTCCTTTTAAAAATGTTAGCAATTACAACCACTAAAAAAATTGGAATAGGAACCAGAACCTTTTTGGTTGAAGTTCTAAACTCTGCTCTTGATAAGATATGCCCCTTATTTACTTTAAGAGGAATTGTCTATTTTTATATTTTAATTTTAACTTATATTCAAAAGTCTTATGTCTAATATTATATCTTTATATATTTAATTAAAAATATAAATTCTCCTTTAAAAGAGCTGGGCAGTTAAAGTTTGATATTTGTTTAAATCGTTCCTTAACCTAAAGTTACATTTTTTATTTATTTAAAAAATTCAGATTTCTGTTCATTATGACACAATGAGTTTAAGCGGGAAAACAATTATTTTTCTCTTATATTACATTTTATATATTTTAATAAAATATTATCAACATATTTTACAAATACGAATGTTTATCAAGAGCTCTAAAGAGTCGAAGCGGTAATACTCCCAAGTACGGGCTTCTGTTTCACTCGTCTTTCATCAGTAAAACCGGACCCACTAATAAAGGAAAAATTTCGAGATTTTTAGCCAATAAATGTGCCATCGCTTCCCGGATCGACTGTTTTTCAGGTAGAATTTTTATTATATAAGATAAAAATTTCTTACCTCGATAAAAATATTCTGAAAATTAGTACGTGGGCAAAAGTATATTGACACAGAAAATTAAATAGTATACAACCTTCTTTTTTTAAAGAAAAATGGTTATTGTTAAATATATCCTTATATGTTGTTTATAGCTTCTCATGTTTTTTTATTATAGATGTTTCGTGCCCAATATATGGTCAGTTTTTTAAGGCTCAAGTTGAAAATAGAATAAAATTTCTCGAAAATAATGAAGAACCTATTAAAAACCACGATCTAATGAATCAAGCTCATCAAAAAGTATAATTATTTTTATTAATGGGTAATTATTCTTATAATACATTTATATGATTCGTATTTTCAAAGGCTTATATATAGGTGTATATAAATGGTGAATTCCATAACAAATATATATGAGTTTCAACCCGATCCCCTCAGATTTTCTAACATTTTTACTAGAGTTTGTATATATTATAATTAAAAGAATTTTTTTTTAGCCTCCAACACCGAACCTGAGATACGGATTTCTAAAGTTAGGAAAAATGGGGCATTTTTGGTAAAACGTACTTCCTTTAGATATCTTTGTATTTAGGCTAGAAACGTCATTTAAGTCTCTTTTATAGCCTAACAGTAAATCTTTAAAGTTATATATAAAAAAATTTAAGTATCAAAAATATCGGAAATAGAAAACCGAAAATGATTGTAATTAAATTGGCATTTTTTATCATTTATAGCCAAAGTATTCATTAATAAATTTGCAAAACCTCAAGTTAGGCCGAGACAGGTTTAGGAGATATGACATTTTAGACATAAGTCAATTGTAAAAATTCTTAATAAATATTTGATTAATCATTAATTGAATTGTCATATATTTACATCTAAAACTTTTAAATATTTTATTATTTTATGTATTTAAGTAAAATAGTGGAAAAGGGCTTATTGTTTATTTTGTAGTATATTTACTTCGTTCCTAAAATTCGATTTATTTTTCTCCTTTTTTTAAACAGTAAATTACACTCCATTAAACCTAGATATACCTATATGTTGTGAAGTAAGAAATATACTTCCTTGGATGATTAACCAGAATTAGAGATCTGCAAAGTTAGGCTCGGGCCTAATTCTATTTAAAATAATCGGGGCCGGGCCGGGCTTAATATTTTTAAAAAAATTTCGGGCCGGGTCGGGTCGGACCTTGGAAATTTTATTAAATATATCTAAATTTATCAATTTTATATTGATTTTTTTATATAAAATAAAAAATTTTGATTTAATTTATTGAAACTATACGCTATATAACATATGTCTATTATTTTAAGTAATAAAATTAATTTCTATATTTAAATAACTTTTTAAAAAAATTTCGAATTCGGGCCAGGCCGTCAAAACTTTTTCAAAAAAAATTTAGGGCCGGGCCGGGCTTGAAAAATTAGGCCCGATGCATATCACTAACCAGAATACAGTTAACCATAAAATTTGCACATTAAGCAATTTGAAATATCACATCTCCAAATGGAAAGATTAGATTATTGGCGGTTTTGCCTAATTAAGAATTTACTACGAATGAATTCATGGGAAGGATAGCAAAAAATTAAGGGTGTTTTATCCAGTCCAAATATTATAAATCATAGGAATGTTTTACGAGATTATACTATATATATTATCGAGAAATTTTATAATTTCGATTAAGTCGTCCCTGATAAAAAACATTTTTATATCAATAAAGGTTAAAGGAAAAAAGTGTCAATTAAAGAAATAACTGGAATTACACTTGCGTTGATTTTGCAGCCAAGTCTAACCTCTCATTTTCTGCTATCGAAAAGGCAGAAATCCTTAAAAAAAAATACGCTGGCCTCGCCAACACTATGTTCACTCCTATCGTTACCAATACCCTAGGCATGTTTGGAAACGAGGCCCTCAATTTCATTAAAATCATAGGAAAAAAAATGAGACAGATCTCAGGGGACCCCAGTGAAGGATTTTACCTTCGCCAGCAGATTTCCCTGGAAATTTGCCGGTCTAATTTTTTAAGTATTCACTCTTCTCTTGGATGATATATACCCCCCCCCCTTTTTTTTAAAATATATCTTTTTTTTATAGTCCTTTTTATTGTCTTCATAGATTATATATATTATATATTTATTTTTTTAATATTTAATTTTTAATATATCCATTTTAATATATATTTTTTAATCCTCTGTAATTTAATGATTATGAATAAATAATAAAGTTATTACCAATAAAAAAAAAAGATTATGCAATTTTAAGGAATTTTACTCATTTTAAAGAAACTCATATTGATATAAAATTTTAATAAATTTGCAGATTTAAGACGAAATTTTTTATATTTATTTAAACTAAAATATTTTTATATTTTTAAATCAAAATTCATCAAAAATGTTTTTTTTTAAATCATAATTTATCAAAAGCGTTTTTTTATGATGGTGCAGTAACTTAATATGAGAATTTTAAAAAGCTCATAATCTAATCCATAACGAACTTGATTTTTGAAGTAAAGCGGAATGGCATTTCTTCGTAATAGTCCTTGACAAACATTACCAAAATGTTAGCAGAAAGTTCTAGCCTTCAGCATCCATATGAGAATCAAGTAAACTAATTAATTTTTCTAAAGCAAATATCACTGGAATTAATTCGCATATGGATGATAATGATAAATATGAAAAAAATTATTTATCTAAAGGCCAAAATAAATGCCTATGGTAAATTAAAGTTAAGTTATATTCATATTATAAAAATCATTCAAATAACAATATAAATATTAAATTTTGTCTTCAGTAAAATTATAGTCATAAATTTATTTGTATTTTCTAGTTATTTTTATCAAGAGAGAAATTCAATTTATCATATAAATTAACCAAAGCCCCCCCCCCCCTTCCCCAAAACCCTTTTTCACATCTTAAATAAATATTAAACAGCTTTTGACATTACAATTATTGATCAATCAAATATTTATCAAGAATATTTTCAATTAAACCTACATCGAAATTTTATTATTTCGTAGGAATCGAATAATTCCTTATTTATATTCGCACGAATAAAAACATTCGATTTGATTCGTCGAATAAATTCGAAAATTAAATTCTTTAAAAATATTTGTTAAAAAATAAAAATTAAGGTATTAAAAAGTCTTAAAAAAATTTTTTGAATGAATCTTTGATTTTTTTTAAAAATAATTTCTGATTTCATCTTGAAAGATTTCTTCTGCATTAAAATTTTACTTATAAAAGATTTTTTACTAAATATATTTTGAATTTTAGGTAAAATTTGATCAAAAATCTTTATTTTTTAAAAATTATTCAAATATTTTTTCTCAAAAGATTTCAAATGGAAAAATTAGATGATTAAAATTTAAAAATGATTTATAGATATAGAAATAAAGTAAAAAAAATAAAATGTTCCTTGAGGAACATGTTAAATACTTACAATTACAAATAATTTTAAATATTTATGAATATGTTTTAATATTTACAAATAGTTAGAATATTTACGAATTCGAAAATATACAATTAATTTTGAATAATACGAAAAAATCAAATTATACGAATAATCGAATAATTCGATCGAATAATGGATAAAAAATTATTCGACGAATAATATATTTCCTTGAATCGAATAATTTTGTTATTTGTTTTCTTAATATACGAATCGAATAACGAATAATTCGTTTTAGGTATATTTGCAATAGAATAATGAATAAAATGCGTTATCTCCTAAACTTGGGCTCGGTCCAACTTAAAAATTTACTCATTTATTAATTAATCCTACATATATATATATATATAAATTGAGAGATAAAAAATGCCGATTTGATTTTATAATCATTTTTGGTTTTTGAAATTTAAAATTTAACCTTATATAGCTTTAAAGGCCTACCAATTGGCTATATAAAGAAATTTAAATGACGTTTCTAGATCAATATCTAAAATTAAAGAGAGTGCATTTTGTCTAAAATGCCCCATTTTTTGACATTTAGGACCCATGTCTTAGCCATTGTTTAGAGTTGGAGGCTTATTTTTTTCCCTAGTTATAAATATATATAAATCTTATAGAAATTTAAGAAATGTCTGAAGGGTTAGTGTTGAAAATCATGTTTTTTTTGTTGATATCATGGAATTGTACATTATTATTATATGTAGAGATTATATTTGCTAATTCTATCAACCTACCTGCTAAATTTATATTAAATTTACTTCGACTATCTTAAAGGCAATGGAATATATGAAAAACATTGGTACTGAACCTACGAGCTATATTGGGGGAAAAAAAATTAAAAAAAAGGACAAAAGGCAACACTCACCAATTGAATCAAATAGTTTATTACTCAAAAAAGAGGACACAGAATCTAGCATCTTGATAGAGGATGAAGAACATGAACAACATGCCACGAAAAAAAGTAAAAAAAGAAAGATGGAGGCAACTTTAAATCATTTTGAAATCAATACATCAATTTTGAATGGTAAAGTAGAAAATTATTCCCTTTCTGATGAGGTGAAAAATATAACAAATGCAAAATTTAATAAAAGGAAAAAAAAAAAAATGCTCGACTAATATTGAAATTCAAATTATCTTAAATATATGCTTTTGAAAATGATAAATTTTTGTTATTTTAGTTTTGTTGTCTTATAAACTGTCGATTATGTGTGTAATAGGTTAATTTCTTGTATATTGTGAGTCTAACTAAAATATTAAATTTTTAAAGAATATATTAAATTAGCAAGAATATAATGATCTAATGACAAATACACAATGCAGATATCGAACACTACGATTTATAAAACAATTGTTGTATAAGTAGATAATCGAGGAGAGATATTAGAGCCTTAATTGACATTAAAAATGTGATGTCCGTAAAATTCTGACAAAACATTAGCCGGGTTTTAATTTTGGTAAATGCCCGGCAATTTGCGCAATTTTTTAAAGGTCCGGGTTTTTCAGACCCCGAATATACACGACCTTTTATAGAAATTTGGTAGAAAAACAGTGCTGAAAATTGAAACTAGGAAGAAATTTACTTTTAAAAAATTTGCTCTTTTTAAGCCTTTAAAATATTTTTTAAAATTTTTATCAGATATCTTTTATTGGTATTTTAGACCGCTTTTTTATCCAGGAGTACTATTGTCCTAGGATATGTTTGCCCTAGGTACTTTTGGCTGGGATGTTCAAGACACTTCTGATCAATTACTCTTGAAGGCGCAATTGGCTCAGGGACGTCGCTATATAGGTGCGACAGATGCTAAAGCATGTCTTTTTCAAAATTATCTCATTTGAAAAGGAATTAGCACCCTATTTTTTAAAAAAATTAAATTAATTAATTAATACTTTATATTTCTATCTTTTCGCCCTAAACAAAATGAAAATATGAAAAAATATATTATATGATAAAAATGTTATAAATCGATTCATAATTATTAACATTATTTTATAAGGTATCATTTTATTAGATGATTCTATATATCAAAATGAAACCTAACCTAATCTAATACCAGTAACAATTTTCAAAATAGTTCATCAATTAATACTCCAATAAGTAAAATTCTTCAATTTTATTTTTCATTTAATAGTTGCCCCTCAATTTTATTTGAAAAAGGGATTGCCATCTTATTGCCATTCATTATAAGGTACATCTGTTTATGATGATTATTTTATTAGAAGATTATAGACATAAACTATACTAAATTACAATTTATAGCTTGAAAGTAGTTGCTAAATTATTAGCCCAAATAATAATATTTTTCAGTTGAATATTTTATTTTTCATTTAATCGATGCCTCCCAGCTTTTTATTTTAAAAGGATTCTCAATCTTACATCAGTTTATAACTCATTGAAGGGTACATCTACTTATAATTTTTATTTTGTAAATAATTCTTTATTAGATTAACGCATCATAGGAATAGCCAGGAGGGGAAAACAGAAAAAACCCCTTTCGGAAATTTGCCTGTTGTAAATATCATTTAAAGCTAATGACAAATCTCTCCATATCAATGTTGTTAAACGCCTACCGCTGCTATTTTATAAAAAAAATAGTGCGCTATCGCTATCGTTTTCAAATGAGTGGCGCGCTATTAGCTACTCTTTACTCTATTTTGATTTTTTTTTTAAAATTTTTTACATAACTTTATTTCCACAAATAAAATATTGGTATAAAAACATGACTATAATTTGTTACACATATATATATATATATATATTATATATATATATATATATATAATTTATTTAATATTGCACTTTATAATAATAACATTTTGTACTGTCATCCCCAAGTCTAGAGCGACGATCAGAAAGTATAAGCTTTGCCATACTAAATAATCGTTCAGCACTAGCACTTGAGGGCAACGCAGTATTAATAATAAACACACATTTTATATGAAAAAAATCATCAAAGATATTTAAATGAGTATTTTTAGAATTAAAATAATAATCTAGAGGTTCAATAATATTATTATTATTTATTTTAAAAAAATCGTCTATGTAAGGCCGCGGTTTCGATCTTGCTATAGTATTAGTATCGTGGTTAGGCATCGCATTTTTTAATGTTACCATCAGCCTATCAAGTTGCCATTTAGATGTCAAATTAATGTATAGCCAATTTAACTTGAAACTAGGATGAACGATAGCAGCTATTACATTATCATCATCATACAGATCTGGAAATCTAATTTATATAAAGCTATTGTATTAATTATAAAATAAGAAAAATACCTATTTAATTTTTAAATTTATCTGAGATTTAGATTCATTTATAAAAAAATATTAAAATAGAATTAAATTATTTTAAATAAAGATTTTAAAAATATAATTATTATACACAAGGTAATTAATAATATATTAATTTTGAATTAATTATATTAATATTATAGATTGAAATGTAAATTAAGCCAATTTAAATTATGGCTAATCAAGCAATAAATCATTCATTTTATATAATTGTATAATAGAGTTGGCAAAATTTTCTTGCGAAACCGATATCCAGTAGTAATTTTTTCTTCAAGATTAAAGTATTTTTTGAATTTTGGGAAAGGATAATCTATATTTTTCTCATTTTCCAAAGAAATTTCACTATCTTCAACAATCTCACACATTTTTAATAAATAGATTTATAATGCTAACTAGATTTATAATGTATATTTTTAAATATAAATTTCAAAATTAAATAAAATAAAAGGATTATAATTTTTGATTTAATAAAAAATATATTTTAATAATTTTTAGATGTATTTATTATGTAAAATTGCGCTACTTTCTAAATTAGTAGCGAGCTACCGCTTTAGCTATTTTCTAAAAAAAGTAGCCAGCTAAAGTTACCACTACTGAAAAAAGTAGCGCGCTATTTTAACAACACTGCCCCATATACACCCCTTCCCTCCCAAAAATGTATACAACATATTACGACAAAGAATTTAAAGAAAATAAAAGTTAATAGTTTTTTAAAATAACTAAAATATTTTAGAAAAAAAACATTTTTATACAAAAAAAGTGTAGCCCCAATAAAATTATTTTTATCAAAATCTAATATAGCCAAGAGTCTTCAATAAGTGTACTTAAAGACCTCCTTATGGGAATAAAATCACCTAAAACTGGCACCTCTCCTCCCCCCCCCCCAACTCATCTTGGCCACGCCTATGGTGCACATCAAAATTTAACTAAATCAAATGCTAACTATTTGAATATTCAAAGATTCCTCAAATTATACACAATTTAGAAGAATTTGGTTAAATAAATTTTTTATTTATATTAAATTCTTAAAGTTAGATGCAGTTTTAGGAATTTTTTATTGTTTATGTATGAGATTAAAGCTTTTTTATTAGACTCTACATTTGTGTTAGACATTAATTTGATTAACGAGTATATGTATACTAATTAAACCTGGCAATATAGACCAAGTGCTCTCATAGTGTGGTAAGAGAGGCGAAGCCCCCCATAAATTATTAAATTGAGTAAAGGTAATAGATACTTTTTAAAAAAATTGGCTTCTTATGTAAAAGTTAGCAACGCTTCTGAATTAATGTGGATTTGTTTTGAATTTTTTTTTTAAATTGTTCAAATTTTCAAATCTTAATTATATTGAATTTTTAAAAAGACAGTAGTTATAATAAATTTTTATAAATATATTTTGTTACATTTATTTTATCGTTACTGTAAATAATAAAATAACAATACCATGTGTATTGCGAGAAGGCTACGGGGGCTATATCATCCCTCACTAAATTTTTTGATTTTTAGCCACCATTCCAAATTTTGAAGAGGGACTGAGCCCTGCCAAAAATTAGCATTTAAATTTGAACACCTTTTCTCCTTATTGTAGTTATTAAAATTTTCATATAGTCAAAAATCTTAGCAGCAAAAAGTTTTATTTTTATAAGTCGTCTCCGCGTTTCCACTCTATAGTGATAGAGTAATGTTCACCACTAATAATTAGTGGTGATGAATAGCTCCATTTTAAACAGGTTTTGAGCCAACTCTAAAAAGGATAAACTTACCTCTAGTCTTCTTAAAGAGCGCTATTTGGTTAGATTTAAAAAAACAGCCCAATTAAGATTCAAGCCAAAAAATATTATGCAAGCCTCGAGATATAGCAAATAGATATCCAAACCTTTCTGCCATCTATGAGTAAGTCTTCAGGATCACCTAATATTACCTTGTTTATAATCTTAATCGGACCGTTTCTAAAAATCGACCCAATAGGGCTTTTTAACCACTCGATAGAGGTCAGGGGTGTTACTAACCTTTACAATCTCTTTTTCCGGTCTTCGGCCGGATTTTTTAAAAGTATATTATACTTTATAAATTATATTTCATGTTTTGTCATTTATTATGCATATATATGTCGTATTGGGATATGGAATCTCGTGGGATTCGGAATCCCAACGTGGGGATTCGAGATCTTGAATCCCCACGTTTTTTTTGGAATCTTTTTTTTAAATTAAAAAAAATATTTAAATATTCCGAATCCCCATGGGGATGGGGATTCGGAATATTTTTATTATATTTTTTATTAAATATTTTAGTTTTATATAAAAATTTTAATATTTGGAGAATTTCTTAAGAATTTAATAAAATCTTTCTTTTCTTTCTTTCTTATTACTTTAAGTGATCTTTCTTTCTTATTACTTTAAGTGATCTTTCTTTCTTTCATTACTTTCCTAAAAATTTTTATTTTAATATTTGGAGAATTTCTTATGAATTTAATAATCATCTGTATACATTTATACAAAATTTCAATTTAATGAATAAAATTGACTCGTTTATTACTATATTTCGATATTTTTATTTTGTATAAATTTCAATAATATATTTCAATTTATTTCGAATTAACCCTTCCCAACAAAGGTTAAAAAATTCACAAACTTTAAAGATGGGGTCTATTTTACCCCTAATAAAAATACAAAATTTAAGATTTTATGCTAATTTTCCTAAAATTGCTTAGATTTTAAGACTATATTTCAATTTAATGAATAAAATTGACTCATTTAATACTATATTTCGATATAATAAAAATATGCTACATTATTTTAAAAAATTATCACCAAATAATACTATATTAATTTAAAATAACATTAAAAAAAATAACAAAAAAAATAATATACCCGACTTAAGCAATAACCCATATTTTAATTTTTCTTTCTTTCTTATTACTTTCCTAAAATTTTTGAAAAAAAATATTCACAAAAACAACAAAAAAAAATTGAAAAACGAAAAAAAACAACACCAATTTTTTTTTAAATCTAGCTATTTTTTTTATATAATAAAAATAAACTTAAACTCTATTCATTTTTTTCATCGTTTTTAAAAATTATTAAATTATATTTTTTTAAATATTCCGAATCTCCCTAATGGGCTAAGCACATCTAATTAAAAATAAACTTAGTACTCTATTCATAAACTAAATAATATAATTTTCAAAAAGGATATAATTAAAAGGCTAAAATAAGGGATTCAAATTAAAGCAATAATGAATGAAAAGGGATAAGATTGACATTTTTGTTTTTGTAAGTTTATGTAAAATCAATCACTTGACAAACCTTGATATTTTTTAAAATTCTATATTTTGAAATATTTGCTAAGTCTATTTTTATAACACTTATTTTTTATGGATAAAAATAACCCCGGTCTTCCGTATTAGATTGAAACAATCTAAGTTTTATATGATCAGATTAGCTTCTGCTTACAGTTATTCCACACATAGCCCTTACAAAAACAAATTTCCAAACTTTTTAAATCGTCTAAAATTAATTAAAAACAGATAGGATGTACATCATAAACTAGGTTTTGAAGATGATTTTTGAATACTTTTTATCAGGGTTGGCAATTCGGTCAATTGACCGGTCAAATTCAGTCAATTGACCGGAGGAGTATTTGACCTGGTCAAATACGGTCAAATACTCCAAAATATTTTAAGTGATAAAATTAATTTCAAAAGTATAAGGAGAACTCGACTATTTAACAGCACTAATTAATCTTTTAAAAATGTTTAAGAGTGAGAAAGTACAGATTTAAACGGCCTTTTTTTAGTCAAACTTTAGAGTTAACATTTTAAAGCGAAAATAATCAATAATACGTAGAATTGTTAACATTTTTCTTTCATTTTCCTTCAATTTTAACTATAATCTATGTCTTCTGGTGGATTAAATCATGAGAGGGTGGGTGTAAACATTTTCCCAAAAAAATATCTAGACAAAGGTATTAAATCCTCTCCATCTTTCCCGATGTCGAAATCTTCAATCGATTTCTGTTTTACTAAGAATATCCCAAATCGACATATTTCTTTCTAAAGAAAAAGTATAACTAGTAATTATTAGTCTTAATGGGCATGGTGGGCAAAGTTTATCCCACTAACTTTAGGTGGGAATTGATTGTTTTTTATAGAAATTACTGCTTTCCACATAATTAACTATTAAACATGCCGTTTATACTTTTGAAATTAATTTTATCACTTAAAATATTTTGGAGTATTTGACCAGGTCAAATACTCCTCCGGTCAATTGACTGAATTTGACCGGTCAATTGACCGAATTGCCAACCCTGATAAAAAGTATTCAAAAATCATCTTCGAAACCTAGTTTATGATGTACATCCTATCTGTTTTTAATTAATTTTAGACGATTTAAAAAGTTTGGAAATTTGTTTTTGTAAGGGCTATGTGTGGAATAACTGTAAGCAGAAGCTAATCTGATCATATAAAACTTAGATTGTTTCAATCTAATACGGAAGACCGGGGTTATTTTTATCCATAAAAAATAAGTGTTATAAAAATAGACTTAGCAAATATTTCAAAATATAGAATTTTAAAAAATATCAAGGTTTGTCAAGTGATTGATTTTACATAAACTTACAAAAACAAAAATGTCAATCTTATCCCTTTTCATTCATTATTGCTTTAATTTGAATCCCTTATTTTAGCCTTTTAATTATATCCTTTTTGAAAATTATATTATTTAGTTTATGAATAGAGTACTAAGTTTATTTTTAATTAGATGTGCTTAGCCCATTAGGGAGATTCGGAATATTTAAAAAAATATAATTTAATAATTTTTAAAAACGATGAAAAAAAATGAATAAAGTTTAAGTTTATTTTTATTATATAAAAAAAATAGCTAGATTTAAAAAAAAATTGGTGGTGTTTTTTTTCGTTTTTTCAATTTTTTTTGTTGTTTTTGTGAATATTTTTTTTCAAAAATTTTAGGAAAGTAATAAGAAAGAAAGAAAAATTAAAATATGGGTTATTGCTTAAGTCGGGTATATTATTTTTTTTGTTATTTTTTTTATGTTTTTTTTATGTTATTTTAAATTAATATAGTATTATTTGGTGATAATTTTTTAAAATAATGTAGCATATTTTTATTATATCGAAATATAGTATTAAATGAGTCAATTTTATTCATTATATTGAAATATAGTCTTAAAATCTAAGCAATTTTAGGAAAATTAGCATAAAATCTTAAATTTTGTATTTATTAGGGGTAAAATAGACCCCATCTTTAAAGTTTAAGTGATTTTTTTAACCTTTGTTGGGAAGGGTTAATTCGAAATAAATTGAAATATATTATTGAAATTTATACAAAATAAAAATATCGAAATATTGTAATAAACGAGTCAATTTTTTTCATTAAATTGAAATATTGTATTAAAATGTATACAGATGATTATTAAATTCATAAGAAATTCTCCAAATATTAAAATAAAAAATTTTAGGAAAGTAATGAAAGAAAGAAAAGAAAGATCACTTAAAGTAATAAGAAAGAAAGATTTTATTAAATTCTTAAGAAATTCTCCAAATATTAAAATTTTTATATAAAGCTAAAATATTTAATAAAAAATATAATAAGGGGATTCGATTTAAATATTTTTTTTAATTTAAAAAAAAGATTCCAAAAAAACGTGGGGATTCAAGATCTCGAATCCCCACGTTGGGATCCCGAATCCCACGAGATTCCATATCCCAATACGACATATATACTAATACTAGCATATAAATACAAGACATTTGATGGGTTAAAAATATTATTTTTTAATAGAAAATATTTATTACAGTATTAAATATTTTCATATATTATAATTTATAATATCAAAGAGCATTAAATATTTGTGAATTCGAATATAAAATTATTTTTCAAGTAAAAATTATAAAAATGATAAAAAAAATATATTTTTTTTCCTTCATTATCCAATATACCTCTATATGGATTGTTGCTACCAAAAACAGGCTATACCATCCTAATAAGAATCATGCCTATATTTAATTTTATCTGTAATCACATAAATTTTAATAACATAAGAGATATTTTCAGATTGAACACCTATAGCTTCTATTGTTTTTCAAATATATCTTATATATATATAAATTAATTTACCTATTTTCTTTCTCTTAACCTTTTGCTTTCAATTTTTATATCTCTCGGAACTTCAATTACTCTTTTATTATATAATATAAAGCATAGTTTAAAATTGAACAACTGTATTTTAAATGTAGTTTATTCCTCACCTCTTTCATAGCCTCATCTTCCTTTGTGTAAAATATCATCAACATTGCTTCTATTTATATTATTTATAGCCTTCAACTCAATATCAATAGCTCTTCTTTCTTTATTATCTAATAAATTTAAAATAAATGAGTTAAAGATATTTTAATTAAATATACTTTGTTCAACTCCAACTTTTTAATTGTCCCCTCTTTTGTCTAAAATATTATCAATTTTGTTTCCATTTGTATTATTTTAAGCATTTAATTCATCTCGAAATCAATCTCTTCTTTCTTCACTTCTAATATAAAATATATGAGTAAAAGATGTTTTAATTAAATATACTCAGAGTTTTAACCAAGTTAGTGGTTTGGATTTTAGAAATTTTCTTGGGTATAGGTACAGTAAATTAAATCTAAAAATGAATAATATAGTAGATTATTGATTTTGAACTTTATTTTCAATGAATAAATTATTATATTTATATAATTAGGATTATAAAATAATTTAAATAATAAAAATCTAATCAATGCTTGATTGATATTTAGACATTATTATTGCATATATAAATACTTTTTATTTGTTATATATGTTAAAGTAGGCAGGGAGTAAGAGACTTCTATCACTTCTATATTAACTGTATTCATCTTATTTAAGTAAGGCGATGTCTAGGATTATGAGTCACGTAATTTTTATTGTCGCGATCGTAAAATTGTTGATGCACATTGGATATTATAACCTCTAACATTTTTTAACGGTTGTCTATTGTTGTCAAATCTGTTGTTGTATTTAAAATCATTAAAAGGCTTGTAATTATTATTATATCCATAATTGTTATTATTAAATCTATTATTGTTATTATATCTTGTGTCCTAATTATTGAAAAGAACATAAGAAATTTCTCTAAATCTTTGGTTGTCATGATGTGGTCGTGTCTGTCATGGTTGTCTTAACTGTTGTTTGAATGATTATCGTAATTCTGTTGGTCTCATCATACAGTATCATCTGGGCATTATCATATCTGCTGTTAGTTGGCTTTTGTTTGTTAACTTTCTTATCTTGTCTTGCTCCCTCCACATGTTTTACATAAGAGTTTGTGTTACCTTTGATAACGATCTTATGTATGATGTTTCGATATCAGTTTCATCTAATTCTTTACCTATCTTTATGACATCATCTAAAATGAGTAAATTTTTAATCCTGTACTTTATTTTAGACAAGCCTGAACACCTTTATTTTCTCTATAACCTTATCGTATACAACAACGTTGCAATTCATGTTGAGCTAATCGGGTAATCTACTCTAAAAAACTTTCGTTCTTATTTTCGACCGCAGCATTGAAATGGCTAATTTTCTTGTTTCGAGTCTTATCAGGCTGTAATAATCTGAGCTTGTTGATTAGTGTCGACGATTTCTTAAGATCAGCTTCAGTGCTTATAGATTGTAGTTTAGTAAAGATGTCATCTGGTAAATTATGGTGTAAGGTAGTTGTCGTAAATTGTAATATTTTTATTATATATTTGAAATGTCAATCATTTCAAATTAGATTTTTTTTATAGTTTTTGATGAAAAAAGATTTTTATATCATTAATTTTTTTATGAAAATTATGAATTAATGTTTTTTTTATGAAAATATATTTAATTGTTTTTTTTAAAAATTACTAATAAAAAAGAAGACCTTATTTTATTTGCGATTTTTGTAATTTGAATAAATTATTTCTATATTTAGATCATTGCCAATTTGGATTGTCTGCTCAATTTTGATAGTTCTTTTTATTTAGTTTTCTAGTTTGTCATTTCTATTTCTGATTTTTTTTAATTTCATCGTTTTTATTGACAGTTGTTGACCGTGACTACAGGATAGTCTTGATACCAAGGTTATTCGTTATTATAAGGTAAAAACAATATTTTTATTTTATATTTTGTGTATCTCCTCAGGACACAACGCAATCACATTTTTGTTTAAATTTTTTAGAAATTTAATTAATTTTTTTAAAAAAAACACATTTTTAAATATTCTAAAAATATTTATTTACCACGGCCAATTTAAAGTAATATAAATTTTCCATATAATGAGATGGGTTTTATGTTTAATTTTGATATTGAGCCTAGCCTATTTAATAAAATTTCATAGTATCCGAGTATTACTTATCAAAATTTGTATCAAATGGTTGATAAATTTGATGTAAATAATGCATTAGTGACAATTTTATTATTGATCATAATATGTGGGTTATCTATTATAATAAAATTTTTGTTTGGAAAATGTACTCTGGTTGCGACCAAAGTATAATGGAAATTGGAAAATAGACACTCCGGTGTCGGCTGATTGTTGGAAAAAAATTTCGGTTTTGGAAAGTAATTTAAGTGTGGTTTTAAATGAAATAAAGAACGGCAGACCAGAAATGGTAGAAACTTTGGAATGTAATAACGATGATCGTTTGGATATTGTGGAGAGATCTGTAGTTATCCTCCAAGAATTGAAAGAAATAAAAGAAGTTATTAAGATTATATATCAAGATATAAATAAATTGGTTATTGCGAATAGTAATGGTAATAAAGGCCAAATATGTGGTCCGACATGGTCAAATGGAAAAAAATATCTCCGTTGAAAAAAATGGTTTTTCTGGTCATAAGAAAATCTTAGAAGATTTGAAATGTACACGCTGTGGGTATAGGGGCCACCAGGTAGAGACCTGTGTGGTCAAAGAACAAAATTTTCGTGAGGGTTTTCCGTTAAAGAAATTGACATTAGAAAATACTAATGTTAGAAAAATTTCTGGTACCAACACGAATAAATTTGAAGTTCTACAATCGAATTATGGTAGATCCCGTTTGTGTTTTAAATGTAACAAATCGGGACATGTAGCCATAAATTGTATTGAAAATTGACTATATGATTGCCAGTGTAATCATATAGTAAGTAGGGGAACGGGAGGTAGAAACAATATAAAAGTAAATAGCCATGCGGAAATGAGATATGATTCTCGTAAAAGCCATGGTTTTAACAGAAATTTTTTTATCCTGATGATAAAAATAAAAATAATGAATATTCTAATAATATTAAATGGGAGAAATATCCTAAGGGTATTGTTAAATATTCCGATAAAAGGGATGTTAATACTTTCAGATGGGAAAAATATCCCAGTGATATTGCAAAAAAATATATGAATATTGTTAATGAACCACTAAATTCCGAGTTGAATTTATGTTTAAATGAGAATTCTCATGAAACTGATGTTTTTCAAATGAGATTAATATTGATCAGTCAATTAAAACATATGAGATTTTAATGACTGAGAGATTAGTCGCATTGTCCTTGTCCAAGAGTTACTGTAAGAGTTGACTCGAGGGACATCGACATGTTGTTTGACACAGGGGCTAGCATTTCCATAATGTCTAGAAGATATTATTATAAACATTGGCCTGGGGGTAAACTTGAAAAAGAATCTATGTGTGTCAGACAATTTGATGGGTCTGAAATTGTAGTTTTGGGAAAAATAAGTTAAGAGTAATTCTCCATGATACCACATTTTTCCTGGATTATGGGTAGTGAAGAAAGATATGGAGACCATCATGGCGTTGGATTGGATTATTCAGTTAGGTCCTTTCAATAATTATTGGAATATTTTTACCATACATAATGGTTCGGCTCTAAATGAGACTAAAAACAAAAATATTGCTAATAATGCTCGAAAGAAAATGCATGAAATAGAAGGGACGGATTTAACCGTAAAACAAGATAATTCAACCCTTAATTCTGATAGGTATGTAAATTCCACGGAATTAATGGTTGAAAACAATATTAGCATTGATGAAAACCCAATGGTTGCTATTGGTATTCATGAATTACATAAAATGCGGGAAGGTATATCTCTTTTAATGAAGAAATGTGAAATAATTTTCGAAGACAAGTTAGGTTGTCTTAATGATTATCAAGTGGATGTAAAATTAAGGGAGGGATTTTCACCTATTTTTCTAGCGTGTCGACGAGTTCCTTTTGAATGGAAAAAGGAAATTGACGAAGATTTGGATCAATGGGTTAAAGATGGTATTATTGTTCCAGTGGAATATAGTGTATGGGCAACCCCGTTGCTACCGTTTAAAAAATCAAATGGTAAATTGAGGCTCTATGCTGATTTCAGAGTAATCCTAAATCGATGGGTAGCAGAGGTTAAATATCCGTTGCCTCTAATTAAGGAAATTTTGGCTCAGTTGAAGGGAGCAAAATATTTTTCAAAGGTTGATTTTTCGTCAGCCTATCTACAATTACCTTTGAGGGAGGAAATTCGTAAATTATTGACGATCACGACTCCTAAGGGGTTGTTCACTTTTTGTAGATTACCATTTGGGTTGAGTGTGTCGGCCCCTATTTTTCAGCGTACCATAGCGTCCGTTTTCCAAGGACTAGAGGGGGTATTTTATTATATGGATGATGTGCTAATTACAGGGATGACGCCTGAACAGCATAACCAACGTTTGGAGGAAGTTTTTAAGAGAATTCATGGTAAAGGCTTGAGAGCCAGTAAGGGGAAAAGCATTTTGGGCGTAACGGAGGTAGAATATTTAGGCCATCAAATAAATGGGATTGAGGTGAAGCCATTACAAAAAAATTTGAAGAATATATTAAATTTGAAGCAGCCCAATAGTAAGGCTGAGGTGCAGTCCTTTTTGGGTATGGTAAATTACTACCATCGTTTTATCGAGGATTTTGCGAAGGTAGCTGCCCCGTTGTATGAGTTATTAAAAATAGGTGTTCAATTTGATTGGAAAGTGGAACAACAAGAAGCGTTTGAAATTTTAAAGGGAAAGATTGGGAAAGAGCCAATTTTAGTATGTTTCAACAATGATTTAGAAATCATATTAGCTGTTGATGCAACTAACAAAGGTGTTGGAGGAGCCTTATTACATTTAATTGATGGTGTGGAAAGGCCCATCCTTTTTTTCTCGCGAGTTTTTCGGGGTGTAGAAACGAGATATTCTGTGATTGAACAGGAGGCCTTGGCCGTGATTTTCGGTTTGACAAAATGCCGTGAATATTTGATTGGTAAAAAATTTGTAATTTTTACCGATCACAAACCGTTTATCCACTTATTTCGAAAGGATAATAGGGAGTTAATGTTATCTCCCCGGTTGCAGCGTTGGTTATTATTAGTGGGCAGTTTTAACGTGGAGGTTAGGTATCGTCGAGGCAAAGAGAATCATTTGCCTGATATTTTGTCTAGGTTAGGTTCAGGCTGTGCAGATCCGGAAATAAGTGATAGGATAAGTATTGATAGAGAGAAGGCCTTAGTGCGTACTCTGTCTATATTTTAAAAGGGGGTCCTACCAATTGGGTAGATTTGAAAACAAATACTGTGAACGACAAAGATCTAAGTCAAGTAAAATTGAGTTTAACAGGAGAAAAACTTTGGAAAAACAAATATGATTCCTATAAAATATACAAAAAGAATTGTCTATTGTTGATGATTGTATTATGAGGGGAAACAGGGCCGTAATTCCTTATAAATTAAGGGGTAAGATTATGAATTTATTGCATGCCGGACATCAAGGTCGAGACAAGATGAAATCTTGGGCTCGGGAATATGTATGGTAGCCTGGTATGGGCAATGCTATTGAACGGATTACTAGGAAATGCGTTCCTTGTAATACCTGTGCCCCTATGCCCCGCAAAGAACTAGGGCAAATTTGGCCTAAATCAAAGAAACCTTGGGAACGTATCCACATTGATTTCTTTGATCTTGATAAAAAAAACATATTTTTTAGTGGTAGATTCGTATTTTAAGTGGATAGAATATGCAGAAGTACATGGATATACCACAAAAATTGTTGTTAAAAAATTAAAAGAATTATATATCCGGTTCGGTTTTCCCGACACGATAGTGTCTAATGAGAGTCCCGCCTTCGTCAGTGAGGATTTTAAATAGTTTTGTGTTGAGTCACAGACAAATCACATTATTGCTCCACCATATCATCCCAGCTCTAATGGACAAGCTGAGAGGATGGTAGCCATTGTTAAAAATTTTATTAAAAAGGCTGGAACCCATAAAGATGAGGCTTACATGTCTCAATTATATTACCTCAATTCTCGCAATCGAGAGGGGGTTACGCCTCTAGAGTTATTTTTAGGTAGGCGAACACGGGGTCCTTTAGATTTCTTAAAACCAAAGAGGAAGATTATTACCTCAGTGGAAGTTAAATTAGGGGTAAAGTTTTCAGTGGGCCAGAATGTTTGGACGAGATTGTTTGACAATCGGAAAAAAAATTGGAAAGAGGTCGGGTATTAGTAAACCGGGGTTCTAAATTAAGTGAAATTTTGTTAATAACCGGGGTTACTGTGATCCGTCATCACGATCATGTTAAAATGGGATAAATAAGAAGGGTAAATAATACGAGAAGATATACTCGATTTTTTTTTAAAGTACACTAATTAAACGGTTCATATGGGGTCAGGGTTCCATATATTGGATCATTTTTTTTAATATTGTTCTGTATACAAGTTTTTATGGTCAGTTTCTATCCAATTTATAGTTCAATTCAGACGGGTTTATTAAAAAGTTTTTCACCATTTTAATGATATTGGAAAGTTTTTCTTT